GGCTTTTTCTACCAATAATAGAACTACTTACACTTTCACCACCTCTTCCCTTTATATTCTCAACTATTTAATTCCATATAACCATATAATTCCATCTGCAGACGCATGGTCTTTATCATGCCACCCTCAGATATTCAAAACACAGCCCTTGCCTCCTTCCATCGTGACAGATCCTCTGTATCCTAATCTAGGCTTTTTGCTGTAAATTCACATGCTTTCAAAGGCCAAGGATATCTTTTATCTGGGCTAAGAAGACATTGTGAGTTTCTACCACTGCGGGCAATGTTTAATTACTGCTTTTCTTTTGTAAAGTAAAAACTAAACAAAGCAATTATTCCCCTAAATAGCTAAATATCAGCAGAGTGAAGTGTTCCTCAAATATCCCTTTATGGGCATTGTTAAAATCCACTTGCTGGCTGTGAAATCAAACTCAAACTCTGTTTCGATGCAGCACTGAGATGTATCTCTATAGTAAGTGTCCAGCCAGCCTCTTTAAAACCCCCCTTGCATCTTAAACATCTTAAAATATTTCATACAAGAAATGCGCTTTTTAATGATGCCAACTCCCAGAACGGCATGTGCTCTGCACCACTCTAGTGCGTCAATGTAATACCTGTGACACTACTAATGGAGGGGACTGTGTCCTTTGGTGGCAATAACACAGGGTCATCTGATGGGTCCTTCCTGTCTCTAACTGCTGCCACAGAAAAATCAGAAAGAGAGAGCTGACAGCTCTGGCAGTCCTTCCCCTGCCCCACATAATAGAATCTGCAAAGCAAAAATAAGGTCAGACACTTTCAAATTGCTGCAATAGGAGAACAGGGAGATCATTTTATATCTAGTTCTAGAAAAAGCTAAAAATAAGCCTGATAGGAGGCAGAAGACAGCCTGAAAATGGATTATTCTCATTTTTCCTGTAATGTAATTTGCAGCAGGGCTTGGTTAAGACAGCAGACATGGTGTGTGGACGAGGGATGGCTCTTTCTGTGGCTTGCAGTAGCTTGTCTGTAATGTTCATCAGCACTGCTACTCAGCAAGAGTTTCCACACCTCAGCAAAGGTGTTAATACATTTTTTTTCCTTAGTAAATGTTTAATTTTAGGAGAAAAGAAAAACCTGCAAGAGCTGTTTAAATAACCTGATTCTTGTGTGAACAAATGGGTGAACGCTTTAGGCTTGCAGGTCTCTCTGGAGTGCTGAGTGGCACCTAGTTAAATACTTAAATCCTTTTGTTCTGTCCAGCTCCATCAGTTACTTCTTCTGTTCGTGCCTGCACCAGGGATACACACTGCAGTTGCATCCTGCTGCCTGATCTGCATTGCTGTATCTTTGGCAAAAATAGCCAGTGTATAGCATGCAGGATGCAGAGGGGGACTGAACAATTACTATCCAGAGCATCTTTCTGTACCTCTGTAAGGATATGGGGGAAAAACCAGAAAATTTCATGTTTCCAGGCGTAAGAACAGGGATTAAATTAAAAAATATATTTAAAGAAATAATGTTTTGAGGGATAGAGTGTCCCACACCTGCACAGGGTGGTGTCTCTTGGAAAGAATACAGGTGAGTTTGGGTTTCTTCAGCTGGGAGTTGGAGGCAGGACTGCAGGATCATCCCATGCTGCTGCAGAGCACCCGCGCATGCCTGTGCCTGGGCATAGACTCAGCATCATCCCTCAACAAAGCTCCAGATGCTTCATGCTGACACTGACTGCCCAGGAAAGAATCATGTTATACACTAATTATATCAGTGATTTATATGCCTGGCACCCAAAAGGTGTCACAGCTTGGGGAAAGGGATTTTTTTTTCCCCTTTTCATAATAAAAAGAGCACATTCTTCCCAATTCCTTGTGAAGCCATTGCTTTATAAGAAGGATGTGGAGATGTTGGAGTGAGTCCATAGGAGGCCGTGGAGATGCTGCGAGGGCTGGAGCACCTCTGGAGCCAGGCTGAGAGAGCTGGGCTGGTTCAGCCTGGAGAAGAGAAGGCTCCTTAAGGGGAGACCTTAGAGCAGCTCCAGTGCTCAAAGGGGCTACAAGAAACCTGCAGAGGGGCTTTGGACAAGGGCCTATAGGGACAGGACAAGGGAGAATGGCTTTAAACTGACAGAAGGGAGATTTAGATGAGACATTAGCAAGAAATCCTTCCCTGTGAGGGTGCTGAGGCGCTGGCACAGGGTGCCCAGAGAAGCTGTGGCTGCCCCATCCCTGGCAGTTTTCAAGGCCAGCTTGGACACAGGGGCTTGGAGCAACCTGCTCTAGTGGAAGGTGTCTCTGCCCGTGGCAGGGGTTGCAACTGGATGAGCTTTAAAGTGCCTTCCAACACAAACTATTCTATGATTCTGTGATTGAAAGTCATCTTGATGGTTATCTGATTTCAGATCTGCTTCTGCAGGGCTTTGCCATGGCCAGACTGTACGTGTACATTCGTCTTCGAGAGGATCTCAACATACAGTTGGGTCTCACAAATTTTCATCAAACAGGTAAGAGAGAGACACAGTCCAGACAACAGCCATGTTTGGAAATAAAATATGACTGCTTTAACCCTCCACTGCAGTAGCACAGAACAGGAAAGGAACAACGATATAGACAAGTGAAATCGCAGCA